AAAAATAGCCAAATTTTTTGAGTAAAAACTGAAAATTGACACAAATTTTGTTTGTTGGCTCTAAAATACTGAAGAAAAAAGTGCAGAAAAAATGTTGGCAAGAAAGTCTGGTGGTGAAAAGGTCTACTGCATAATACAGTCAGAAACTTCACTGATGAATTAATACGCAAAACGATATCAGTTGCAATTAATTATAACAATTAATTCAATAAAAATTACCTCCCTGTCTTCTATCTGACCTATGCAATCGCTCTGAGGAGTACCCATTTTTAAAGAAATCGATTGATAATTCTGTTGTTGGTCATTTGAAAGATCAGGATTAGTTTTTTTTCCCATCAATAATCTGATGACTCAATTCTGAGATCAGCAAATAAATGCAATTGTATAACAAGCAGCCTATCGGCTGAGATAGCTCCGCTGTTAGCAATGCACATGTCAATTAAAGAACAGAAGATATCATTAGAAAATGAACAATATGCATAGTATCAATGCACTAGGACTTGCTGTTTTTAACAAGAAGTCGAAAAAATCACTTTTTACCAAAAATGACAAAAATTAAAGATATCATTACAAAATGAACAAATCTGAGAGAGGTCCACATGTAGTACCTATATATGTAATATTAAAGCAATTGGACTTGTGGTTTTTAACAAGAAGTTAGAAAATATCACTTTTTACCAAAAATGACAATTGAAGATATCATCATGAAATGAACAAATTTGAGAGTGGTCCACATGTAGTACCTATATATGTAAATATCAAAGCGATTGGACTTGTGGTTTTTAACAAGAAGTCGAAAATATCACTTTTTACCATAAATGACAACAAGCAGCCTATTGGCTGAGATAGCTCCGCTGTTAGCAATGCACATTTCAATTAGAGAACTGAAGACATCATTAGAAAACGAACAATATGTATAGTATCAAAGCAATCGAACTTACAGTTTTTAACAAGAAGTCGAAAATATCATTTTCTACCAAAAATAACAAGAATATTCACCAAAATTAGACAATTGAAGATATCATCACGAAATGAACAAATCTGAGAAAAGTCTACATGTAGTATCTAAATATGTAATATCAAAACAATTGAACTATTGGTTTTTAACAAGAAGTCGAAAATATCACTTTTCACCAAAAATGACAAAAATATTCACCAAAATTAGACAATTGAAGATATCATCATGAAATGAACAAATCTGAGAGCAGTCTGCCCAAGGTACATATACACGAAGTATCAAAGCATTCAGGCTTGTAGTTTTCAAGAAGAAGTCAAAA